TCTCTTCTAGCCTGTAAGGTTTCTGCTGAGAAGTCAGCTGATAGCCTTATGGGGTGTCCTTTGTATGTAACTTGACTTTCTCTTGCGGCTTTTAGGATTCTCTCTTTATCTTTAATTCTGGACATTTTGATTATGATCTGTCTTGGCGTGGGCCTCTTTGGGTTTATTTTATTTGGGGTTCTCTGTGCTTCCTGTACCTGGATGTCTGCTTCCCTTATGTTAGGGAAGTTTTCATCTATCATTTCTTGAAATAGATTCTCTGCTCCTTTGTCTCGCTCTTCTCCTTCTGGGACACCTATAACATGGATGTTAGTGTGCTTGATGCTGTCCCAGATGTCTATAGAAGTCCATTATATATCCTAGATACTAATCTTTTATCAGTCATATTTGTGTTAGTATCTTCTCCAGTTGGGACTGGATCCCTGAAAAATTCCTAGAAGTCTCTTAATATTGTCTTTATTGTTCTTCTTGGTTTGGAAACGTGAACTAAATGACAAGTTATCTGTTTTCCACACACCAAATATTCAAAAGAAGACATATAGTGCTCAATAGTTATAACAATCCCAAAATCATACTAGGCAGATCTTATGAAGAACCTTCACATTGAGAATATGACCTATTCCATGATTATTGACTATTTTCATTCTCCCTCGTCCATTATTTTCTGTGATACTTAGTTCCACCTTCTGTAAAGTCCTTACCTTGACATTTATCCTCCCTGGCCATATTTAAAAAGGAAATTGAAGAATGTCTCATCATTCGGGGTGTGATCAGTGGTCTCAGTCTGCTTCCTGGCCATTGAAGATTGATGGTCCAAGGACTCTTTTAACTCTCAAATAGTCAAATTTCTGTTAGTTCAGACTAATAGTTGACCTCAGGTAAGCCCTACAGATCAACAGCCACATTTACAACTCTTTTTTAGATCTCTCTTTCTCTTTCTCCATGTATACACATGTAAAATATCTTAGGCCCATTAGGCTTCTCTGTGAGAGTCACACCCTAACTCCCTAAATTTCTTTTACATAATCCATTTTGTCAAATTAAAAGATTTACTGAGCATGACCTTCAGTCATTTACAGTTTATAACAACAGGGTGTGATGACGCGTCCTTGATTTGGTCCTTGATGCAAGGCTGAGTTTTATTGGCCTTTTTTTCTCTGAGTCCTTCTAATTTTTATCTTTACTGGTTGGAGATGAAAATCAGTTTTCTCTTCTAACTCTGCAAATCCCCAAATATCTTGACTCTTTCTATATTCTCTTTACTTCTTGTTTGCCTCTGACCAGTTGTCTTGTACGTTTGTCTCATTTTTCAGAACTTTGTTAAATGCTTCTAACAGCCACCAACTCATGCTACAAGCATTCTATTTTCCCACATAATCTCCCTTCCAAGTTGTCAAAAGTTTCAGTTGTACCAAATGTTTTATTGTGCCAAACATAAATTGCTCTCCTTCCAGTTGGCAATAACAGATTCCTTGACACCTATTGCCTGATCCTAAAGAAACTTACAATTGTTAATTTTTGTTTTTTTTTTAAACAGCACACAACTACCTGTATAAATTTCTATAACAGTTATGATAGCCTGAGTATGCTACAGCAGCAAATAATCCAAAATTTATTTATTTCTTGCTAACATTATATATACATCTTGGGTCAGCTGGATGCTCCTCTCCTGCATCATCATCTTATACCATATGAGTCAACCACTAATGGGGGCATTGGGAAAGGAGAATGTGAAAAATCACATAAACAGAAAGCCTTTGCCTGGAAGTGAGCTATATCACATCTGCTCACATTTTATTTGCCTGAAAAAGTCATATGGCCAAACCCGAGTTCAAAGAGATAAAGAATTACAGTCCTCTCTCAGGGAGGAGAGTGGAAGCAGATAGTTATGAAAAGCTACACAATATATTACATGGCTTATAAGAGCTATTATTGCCATTTTTCACACACTGTTTTGTAGGTTTTGTGTCCTGGGCCCTAAAAAACAGCCCATAATCAATAATTCCAGGAGAATGTTCTCTTCTTCCACCTCTTTAGGGCATCTTTTATTTCTTTGTTCCTTAGGCTGTAAATCAATGGATTTAGCATGGGGATTATAACAGTGTATACAACAGAGGCCAACTTATTTTGGCTCAGAGAATCATCAGAGCTAGGGCACAAATAGACAAAGGTGCCTGAGCCACAGTAGAGGGTCACTGCTGTTAGGTGAGAAGCACAGGTGTTGAAAGCCTTGGACCTGCCTTCAGCTGAAGTGATCTTCAGAATGGTGGCAACAATATAACCATAGGATATCATGATAACAAGGACAGATGTGAGCCCAAAGATCACTGTGAGCACGGACATCATGATTTGAAAGAAAAAGGTGTCAGAACAGGATAGGATCAACAGTTGGGGCAGGTCACAGAAGAAATGGTTGATGACATTTGGCCCACAGAAATGGAGCTGAAGTAAAGCACACAGTTGGATCAATGAGCCAAAGAATCCAGTTATACAAGATCCTGCCACCATCTGCATACAGAGGGTGGGGGACATGTTGGTTGTGTAGAGCAGAGGATTACAAATGGCAGCATATCGATCATAAGCCATGGCTGCCAAGAGACAGCACTCAGTCAGACCCAAGCTAGAGAAAAAGAAGTATTGCATGGCACATCCTGTAAAGGAGATGAATTTCTGCTTCCTGAAGAAATCTGACAGCATCTTGGGAGCTGTGGAAGAAGCATAACAAATATCTAAGAAGGCAAGTTTATTGATGAAGAAATACATGGGCGTGTGCAGGTAAGAGTCCATCTTGATCAGGGTGATGAGACCCAGGTTCCAAGACACTGTCAAGAAGTAGATGCTTAGGAATATTAAAAAGAGGACAACGGTGAGCTTTGGAAATTCAGAGAATCCCAAGAGAAGAAATCTGGTAATTGTAGCATTGTTTCTTCCTTCAGCCATTGCCAAGGTGCTTCTGAGATCTAAAGGGAAGTAACAAAAAAATCTCTTCTTATTCCAGTATTCTCAGGCTATTAAAATTAAATAGACAATGTTACCCTTCTATCAGCTCTCTAGCTTAAATAATTGCCCTGTAAACCATATCATGAGGAAAAAGAAGCTGCCTATGTACATGTTTATTTCTTCATTTTTTAAGGAATCTTTTAATCAAAGTATAACCTATATAAAGAAAAGATAATCCATACAAATTAGATCCTCATCTACATTTAAAAAAATAATGCATCTGGAAACAACTACCCCATTGATGATTAATGAGTTGGGGGTAGTGGAGCCAATAAAACCTATGCAAACATTTTAAAATAAAAGAGAAACTAAACATTATGTTGAGATCATACATGGAGAACTAGCTACCTAAATTAACAGCTAAAAATTCTGAATAAAATATTTTATAAATCTGTTCAAATGCATCAATTAGTTGGTTTTAAAAAAAAGATAAGGTACGTACTATTCTTGTAGTAGAATGGTGCCATTCAAATTGTGGTCCATGGTACTATAAGGAAAGGTAAGTATATGAAAATGAGAACCTAGTGAAGTAGCAGAACAGTGAACGTGGTTTGGTATTGAAGACATTTGTAAACTAACATGTCTTAGCATAGTTATTTTTTAGTTTCACAGGACTTGGGGATCTGGAATAAGGACTCAATCAAGGTTGAGAGTATAACAGGAGATTCTCATATAAAGCTGGGGCCCCAAAGCATAGACCATTAATACAAAAGTGAAGGCTCAAATAACCATTGTCCCAAAGAAATGCAAAGAAACTTGTATATATAAAAATTGGCATTGAGTAGGGAGGATGACACCGTTTTGATCTCCAGGGAATTTGTAACTATTAGACATTTAACATTACGTGACATGCCTAGAGAAGTCCAATTTCACACTACTTGAAATACCTAATAAACCTCAAATGAAAATTTAGTTTAAAGAGATACTGGGTTGATAATACTCTTGGCTATTGCAATTCAATACTGCCAGTCCATAAATTGCTTGTTACAAGTCAGGCATGAGACAAGGATCTTGTGGCACATTATAAATCAATTCACAGCTTCATTCAAGAAAGTATTGCTATAAAATAAATGATAGCTGAAATAAACAGTGTGCTTAGTGCTGTAGCTGATTTACATTCCGGGGCAATCTCCTTATATTTTTGTCATTTACAGACTGGCACCAGTCCATGGATCACAATTTGAATGACACTGTTCTAGATACCTGGCAGAAGAAGAATAATATCTTCTCTGGAGAAACCCACCTTCATTCCAAGCTTCAAAGTATTTTCATAGATGGAATTCCAAGAAAATGAACAGCTCACAGTCAAAGATCAATAAGCACATAAGGACTACGACACTGACTGAGAGCTAGCAGAAAAACAATTAGCAGAAGTGTACAAAAATACTTCAGATAATTGAACTTATTGGACTCAGAGTAAAAAATAAGTAGGTTGCACAAACTTTAAGAAATATGAACACCTTTAAATATCAGAAAAGAGCAAGTAGGCTTGCAGATGGCTAGTGAGAATGCACAGAAAGCCATCTGATTCTGTGAGCCTGGGAGAAACATCACAAATCTGAGCATTCAACACTGCTCTGGGGAAGAAAATGGGAGGCTGTCAGTACCTAGTATGGCTTTGAATGATGAAAAGAAGGCATATAGTCTTAAGAATTACTTTTCAAGAAGGAAAAAGAAGTGTGGAGAAGGAGTATGCATGGGAAAAGTCTGAGAAAACCTCAGAATCCCTAACAAGGGTGATGAAGGTATTTCTCTCCCAAAGCCAGTTAGTAAAGACTCCAGGAGATGATTGCTTCTTCAAATGCGGAGACAGCAATACAAGTTCTCAAGGAACACAAAAAATCACGGAAACACGACACCATCAAAGGAACACAACGATTTTCTAGTAACTGATCCCAAAGAAATGGTGATCTGTGATCTACATGATAAGAATTTAAAATAGTTGTTAAAGGAAGTTCAGTGAGCTACAAGAAAATACAGAAAGACAACTCAATGAAATCAGGAAAATATAGGAACAAAATGAGAAGTTTAATGGAGAGACAGATCATAAAAAGAACCAAACAAATTCTGAAGCTGAAGAATATGATGAATGCAATTTAAAAATGTCATAGGGACCATCAACATCAGACCAGACCAAGTAGGACAAATCATCTGTGAAGTAGAAGATAAGTCCTTTGAAATTATCCAGTCAGAGGAGAACAAAGAAGACAGAATGAAAAAGAGTGAAGAAAGCTTACATGAAATATGAGATACCATTAAGAGAAACGAACTGTGCATTATTGGACTCTGAGGAGAAGAGAGGGAGGAAGGAGCTGAAAGCTCATTTAAAGAAATAATGGCTGAGAAGTTCCCAAATCTGGGGAGAGATTTGGACAACCAAGTTCGTGAAGCTTCTGGATTCCCCCCAAATTTAAACCCAAGCAAACTTCTCCAAGACATATTATATTAAATTATATTAAAACACATTAGGGCCGGCCCCATGGCTTGGCGGTTGAGTGCGCGCACTCCGCTGCTGGCGGCCTGGGTTCGGATCCCCGGCACGCACCACTTCTCTGGCCATGCTGGGGCCGCGTCCCACATGCAGCAACTGGAAGGATGTGCAGCTATGACATACAACTATCTACTGGGGCTTTGGGGGGAAAAATAAATAAATAAAATCTTTAAAACACATTATATTATATTTTATTGTCTAATCAAAGACAAAGACAGAAAATTAAAAGTGGCAATTGAAAAAAAAATCCTCACATACAAGGGAATTCTCATAAGGCGTTCAGCAGACTTCTCAGCAGAACCTTGCAGGCCAGAAGAGACTGAGATGATGTATTCAAGGTGATAAAAGAAAAAAATGCCAGCCAAGAATACTTTACCAGCAGAGCTGCCCTTCAGAACTGAAAGACAAATAAAAACTTACCAAAACAAACAAAAGCTGAGAGAGTACATCACAAAGTAGACCTTGCCTACAGGAAATGCTGAAAGGAGTTCTTCAAGCTAAAATAAAAAACAGTAATTAGTAACATAAAAACAAATGAAAATATAATACACATTGGTAAAGGTAAGTATATAGCCAAAATCAGAATACTCTAATACTGTAATATGGTGGTATCTTAATCACTTAATGCTAGTATAAAGGTTAAAGGAAAGTCTTCAAAAATAATTATAGCTATGATAATTTGATAATAAATACACAATATAAAAAGAGGTAGACTGTGACATCAAAACCATAAGATGTGGGGAGGGGGTAGAGAGATAGAGTTTTTATACATGACCAAAGTTGTTGTTAGCATAAAATAGACTGTTACAACAATAATAGGTTTTATGTAAGCCACATGGTAACCGCAAAGCAAAAGTCTACACTACATATACAAAAGATAAAGAGAACAGAATGAAAGCATAACACAGTGGAAAATCATCAATTCACAAAGGAAACAGAAAGAGAGGAAGAAAGGAGCAAGGAAACCATAAAACAGTCAGAAAACAATTAATAATATGACATTAGTAAGTCCTTACATATCAATAATTACTTTAAATGTAAGTGGATTAAATTCTCCAATCAAAAAGCGTGGAGTAGCTGAATGGATTAAAAAACAACACCCAACTATATTCTCCCTGCACTTCAGCTTTAAAGACACACAAAAACTCAAAATGAATGGATGGAAAAATATATTTCATACAAATAGAAATGAAAAGAGAGCAGAGGTAGCTATACTTATATCAGGCAAAATAGATTTTAAGGGAAAACTGTAACAAGAAACAATGAAGGTCATTATATAATGATAAGGGGTTACTTCTTCAAGAGAATATAACAATTATAAATACATAGGCACCCACCATTGGAGAACCTAAAGATGTTAAGCAAATACTAACATAACCAAAGGGAGAAATAGACAATAATAGTAGGGGACTTCAATACCCTACTTTCAATAATGTATAGATCATTCAGACAGAAAATTTGTAAGGAAACATTGCATTTGAACTATACTTGAGACCAAATGGACCTCACAACTATATACAGAACTTTCCATCCAACAGCAAGAGAGCACACATCCTTTTCAAGGGCACAGGGAACATTCTCCAGGGTAGATCATACATGAAGCCACAAATCAAGTCATAACACATTTAAGAGGATTGAAATCATATAAAGCTTATTGCCAACTGCAGTGATATAAAATTAGCAATCAAAAGCAGGAGGAAAACTGGAAAACTCATAAATATGTGGAAATTAAGCAACACACTCCTGAACAACCAATGGGCCAAAGAAGAAATCAAAGGGAAATTAAAAAAAAATCTTGAAACCAATGAAAATGAAAACACAACATACCAAAACTTATGGGATGCAGCAAAAGCAGTTCTAAGAGGGGCGTTTATAGTGATAAATGCCTATATTAAGAAAAAAGAGTGGGCCAGCCCTGTGGCTTAGTGGTTAAGTGTGCGCGCTCTGCTACTGGCAGCCCGGGTTCAGATCCCGGGCGCGCATCGACTCACCACTTGTCCGGCCATGCTGAGGTGGCGTCCCACATACAGCAACTAGAAGGATGTGCAACTATGACATACAACTATCTGCTGGGGCTTTGGGGAAAAAAACGGAGGAGGATTAGCAATAGATGTTAGCTCAGAGCCTGTCTTCCTCAGCAAAAAGAGGAGCATTAGCACGGATGTTAGCTCAGGGCTGATCTTCCTCACAAAAAAAAAAGAAAAGAAAAAAGAAAGATTTGAAATAAGCAATCTAACTCTACACCACAAGGAACTACTAAAAGAGGATCAAACTAAGCTCTAAGTTAGCAGAAGGAATGAAATAACAAATATCAGAGAAGAAATAAATGAAATGGAGACCAGAAAAACAATAGATAATATCAACAAATTCAAGAACTGGTTTTACAAAAAGATAACATTTACAAATCTTTATCTAGATTAACTCAGAAAAATAGAAGGCTGAAATAAAT